TCTTGGCACCAGCCAAGTTACACTTGGAGCATTCGCCATTCCGGGTTCCCTTAGGACACTACATCTTCCTCCAGCAATTAAGAAGTTAATCATACGAACATTTGTGTGGGTTCACCTGAAGACGCGTAGTTGGCCTCAGGATCCCATCAGTACAAGGCTCTGGTTACAAATTCGTTTCTCCCGAAGCTGTTGTGCGCTCCTCGTCAGACACGCCTGGAGTTCTAGGGTGGATATTGAAACTTGATTTTGTACATCACTCTTCCAATTCTACTCCGAATCAAACTTGTTGTCTATAGTGCCTTGCTCATGCGATAAACTCTGACCAAGACATTTTGCCCTGCGTGAAAATGTCCCACTTGGATTTTATTTCGTTAGTTAAAATACTTCTCCATTTCCACATTGCTCTCCTGCGGGATAATGCTCCTCTGCAGTAGCAAGGAGTTAACAGTCCGAAATTTTGGAGGGCAGTCCGAATTTCGCTTCCACGAGTGCGTCTGCGGGTGACACGTTGTTTGGCACCTGAGGGTTTAGGGTTGATCTGTACATAAACAGAAAAATATCCAATATCTCCTGTGTACTTCCCTCTCCCTGTATTTTCAGTAGTGTGCGTTTGAACATGTCAATAAAGCCTTCCAACTGTCCATTAAATTGGGGGCGGAACGGGGGTGAGCGCAAATGTGTAATCCCAACCTGCGTGCAGTATTCGGCAAATTGGTAGGAAGTACATTGCGAACCATTGTCGACAACCAGAGTCTTCGGTATTCCATGCTGGCTGAAAAGACTTCCCAGTACTTTGATGGTTGAACCACTGGTTGCATGCTCCATTTAGAAAACCTCAGGTCGTTTACTGTAAGAATCCACAACGATGAGGAACTGCTGTCCACTCACAGGATCAAACAAATAAAAATGGATGCGCTCCTAGGCTTTCGTCGCTGAGGGCTAAGAAGATAATTCTGTTGTCCGCTGTGACTTCTTGACAAGCGCACATCTTGGACATTTATTCACCAGCTGCTCGAGTTCCGCGTCGATGTTTGGCCAATAAACAAAACTTCGCGCAATCATTTTCATGGTGCCAATACCAGGATGACCTCGATGGAATTGTCGTAGAATTCTCGGGCGAAGTTCCACAGGGATGACAACTGGGTCGGCTCGAAGAAAACATCCAATAACCACTGATGGTTCACCATTCCTTAGGAACAACTTGTGCAGCTCACCTGTTCGGTTTTATATTACGACCACCATGTAGTGTGGTATTTGATCGCTCGTTGAATGATTGGATCTCGGAGTGATCCCACTTCGAAAGTACTCGGAAATTTTTAAAGACTCTAGCAGCATTTGGTTCACTTCTGATTCTAAGGATATTGCTGCGATGATGGCGTCTTCTTTCCGAGGCTACTGATTTTCAAACAACCGAGAAAGCGCATGAGCCTGACCTATGTTCTTTGAGGAAAGATGCCTCACACAAAGTCATAACCAAGTAACGAGGTAGCCCAACGTTGCAGCCTGTTTGCTGTGCAGACGGGCGTGCCTGGCTTTTATCCAAAGATTGCCCGCAGTGGTTCATGGTCAGTAAGAAGGGTGAACTTTCTTCCGTAAGCATTTTGTGGAATTTCTTAACCGTAAAGAATATCGCCAAGATTAAATTTTCTACCTGACCGCAATTTCGTTCTGCTGTGAGTAAGGACCTGGCTGCCTGTGCAATAGCTTGCGTTGGGCCATCTACGAACTTGTGTGATAAATGCCCCAAAGCGGTAGTTGGAAGCATCAGTAGCAAGCACAATTTCCTGTGTGGGGACATGATTGGCGGCATCCGGTTTCGGAGTTGCCTGTCACTGTGGCCAGCCACAGGACGCCTGCGTCTACAGAGGGACCATGGGTGGCTTGTGATGCACCACCCACAGCTCTAGTATAAACCCGAAGGATTAGGACCGTGAGACATGTGGATGGGAGCCATGTTACATCAATGGAGCCGGCCCACACTCCTTCACAAGCAAACACAAGCACGCTGTATTTGGGGAATCAAGCGCACACAAGGCGGTGGCTGGACCGTAGTCCGCTCCACACTGAGTGCATGGAACCACACTTTGATTCTAACGCGGCCACAAGGACCGTGCACCCCGTTCCCTCCAGCAACGACCAACTGTCTCCTGGAGCCAGTATGGACGAGGCAGTGGGTAATAGACAGGTAGGCACCTTGTCAACATGCACATCCAGCGAGCCACACCGGGGATGTCAAACAACAGCCAATCACTCGAAAGAGCATTATCAAAGAAAATATATCTGTTAAAGCATACGGCTATGCCGACATAAGTTTTCGCTAAATTAGCATATGAAGTAAGTTGGTTAACAACGAATCCGCGATAAGTACAAAATGTCCAGAAATTATTCAAAAATGCTACAAACGCGATCAAGTTAACAAAGATAACCACAATTAGTGTGAGCAACGAGTGCAGGTTAATAGAAGATTATTCGGGCAGGCAGAACGAACCAAATAAAGTGGAATGAAATTTATCCAGCTTAAAAATGCCTAGTTTAAGGGCTAGTTAGTTTTGCCCAACTGTGAATGAAACATCAGCCTCAGCATGGGGCCCTATATATATATATATATATATATATATATATATATATATATATATATATATATATATATATATATATATATATATATATATATATATATATATATATAGTAATGTGATCAATTTGAGACAATGCTTTTGTTGGTGAACAGGGTAGACATGTTGCGGAAATTCGGCTCGTGTGCCTGAAGCTGATGCTCATGAGATATATATGACTGTCATCACACAATGTAATCTATCGCCGTTATCTGAGCAGCGCTCTCGAATGTGTGGTGATCATTAAGATGACATTCGCATGGTAACAGGTGACTCATTCGTTCAATAAAATCCCTAACATGATTTGTGTTGCTCAACATTTGATAAAGCCCGCGATAAAAATAATTCTTCCCCGAGCCACTGCTGCAGTCAGTTAGGGCATACGCGGAAATCACAAAAAATTGCGCTTCTCCTCGAGACGGTTGTTGTTTCTGCATGAAGTACGAAGCATAACCACATACAGTCCGTTGCTAATCGGGTGCCTGTCCAGCAGTGCTGACTCGGCTTTGGCACTTCGTGTTACACCTACACCAGCCAAATCCGCGCAGACTGCTTTTGGGTCACCATCTATCATTAAGACTTCCAACGCGAGTACATTTACTTCACCTTGCTCTAAACCCTTCTCAATGCACTGAACGTAAGTGCTCAAACTCAGTTTGTCTGTTAGTAGTTCCTTGCACAATCGTGTGAGGCAAGTCATGACAACTGGATTCGGCGCGATTCGTCGCTCGAATGGCGGCTGTTCACTTGAACCGACCTGAATCAAAAGCACGCACATCATTACGCGAGAACAACGCAGTCGTATACGGATGTGGTTCGACAATATATACACAAACAGTAGGAGAACCGATTATACTGTTCAATTTGATTATCTTTTTTGAACACAACTTGACGCCGAGGAGCCAACCAAGTGTGGCAGAAAGCTTACAACAGTAAAAATAAGCTTCGGCGAAAACAAACTCAGGACTTTTTGTTTCGAAGCCGCTTACCATGTTTTAGACACAAAGTAATGGTTAGAATATGAGGGCGGTTGAAGCGCAGAAGCTTTCTCTCTTCGGCAACTGAAGAACACCGTTCGTATGTCACAGGAGCCGGTTCGGGAAGCACACGCCTGGAAAATTCTATTTTGTACCGCAACATCTTCTCTATCGTTCTGGATGGGGAAGATGAACATGGTGGTTCATCGCGCAAGGACCTTTCATTAACCGGCAATTGTTTATCAGCTGGATTCAGGTGAGGAGTGTTGGGATCCGCTGTGGAAGGATTTGAAGTGATCTGGAAAGCCTTCGCTCTACGCCGGTACCAATCAGCGAGGTACCGAAAAGCGTTGGGATTCTCCGGTAAACGGCGGGCGTATTGCAACAGAAGCGATCTCGCCCGACGAGGTTCCTCAAAGTATTCGAGGATCTGCGATAAGTAGAGAACAGTGATTCAGTATAAGAAGTGAAGATTTTATTGACCGCATCCATTGTGGGGCACCATGTTGGGAGCTTGAAATAGGGAAGGAAGGTCGAAGCGTGTGTATCATGGTCAGCTTCGTATGGAAATTGATAAGCGACAAAGCAACTCTGAAGACCGATTGACTAATTGCGTGCATAAAAATGACGAAATATTTACCTCAACCAAAGGCTTTATAAAAATGTCACAATGGCGGCCCTCGTTGATCAGAGCCTCTACTTCTTGCAGCCGATTGAAGGCTTTCTCTGCCAACTCATCTGCAGCTGCCTGGACTTCTTCCTCCTCCGCTGTAAAAAAAGAGAAATAAGAGGGTTACGCGAACCGGCGCCAATCAGTTTGTCGCTAACCAACCACACTCGTTAGCCGTGGTAAGGTATGTAAGACGCCGGCTCATGGAACATAAAGTCTGCACTAATGTGGTTCTGCTTATGCGAACGAGACATTCAAATGTCAGGGGACGTAGCTTGGTAGGAGTATGAGAAGATAGGCAAAAGCCAAACAACCTCACTGTGATAACTACATTTTGTCAAAAAAGTATACTCACATCACTATCATGGCCGTCAGTTGGTGTGCACTCGAACCGGTGGCAGAAGAAAGTGTGGAGTGGATAGCGCAGAAAAACAGTGTACACAGACCCAGAACAGCCATGCGGCCGTTCACATGAGAAAGAGACTGTGCCGCGAGACAGTTGGTTAAAAACTACTCCGACGCTTTTGTTGAACGCACAGCGTCTCATCGCGATTTGGGAATGGGTAAAGGAGACAAAAGTAGTCGCGAGAATGAATGGGATGCAAACGCGGTTCATAGCAAGGACAACATCGACGACATCTGGTGTTGGAAAAAAGGATCTCACTTTTTCAACCTGACCGAAAATACGAACCAACTAGGAGAAAGAACCCATAGCACCACCAGACACTACCGCTAGTGACGCGTTTGTTGTTGTCTCTTAGTCAGACTGCTTGTTTGAAATGCATTTGTTGATTATGACGCGGGGCAATGAAAGTCTAGAGGACACTGTTTCACTAGGGGAATTTTATCTTCGTACAATAAACCAGCTGTTTGCCACCTGTGTTGTCGGTATGGTGTAGACGACCTAACCCGGAATGTCTGCTGGTTAGGCTATTCAATTTTGACAATAGGCCCCCAATCTCCTTTGTATAACTGCTTAATCCCTATGTGAGCAGAACTGTGTGGCAGCGAGGACGGTGTTGATGGTCAAGGGACGAGTAGACACAGAACGACCCTCGATAAAGTGGGCGGAAAACAGGCAACTGTACATCCATTTAACCCAAGCTCTATCTCTCAAGCTTACAGCAGACAATACATCTTCTGGGACTCGAACATCGCTATCCATGAAGTGCGACTAATACCGAGCGATACACAGTGAAGAAGACGGATAAAGTATGGTCACGTCCTGAACAGGCAGAACACCAGAGGAAAGTGTTAAATTGCAACTGATTCTGTGTAGAAAAGTAGTGTATATGGCTGAAAGCATCGGTAGCACCATGAATTGGATGGGTTCGATGTGAATGATCGATGGCACGGTCGGATACAGTCGCGGAGCGATATCAGAATGGAATATTAAAAGCTAGATGCAAGAAACTGAATGATGTAGCACCACTAACTATGCGATTGTGTCACGTCTGATAGGGTCTACAACCACATTCGGAAGCCCCCTAACTATGAAGATGGCACGCGCCATTTCAACAAATCTTTCGGTCAATTTCTTCATACCTTTATGCCAGGTTATCAATTGGCCACCTCTCGGTTTCACTCAAGTTGGTGCAACCACGGCGTACAGAGAACGACGAGGAAAGACGTCAGTGGGCATACGGCGGAGGTGACCTAGCCCACGTAAGCGAGTCAGCTTTAGCAAACATGCGATCGGTCCCAGAAGGCTTCTTGCCAAAAACCAACTTGCTGATCTTAACATCACTCACCCAGTGTTTCCACCAAGCATAATACTCGCAAGCACCGGTAGGCAAAGAAGACTAATCAGTTAATGTCATCAGCACGAATTGGCCATGTTTCTGATTCATATAGTAGCGTCTGCCGTATCGCAGCACTTTAGAGAGATGTTTGAGCCTCTGACTCGCGGAACAAACTACTCGTGGTGCCAGTTGGCTGGTTCGGAGTAGCCCCGTTCCGGAAAACGATCTAGTGGCGGTGTTCCAGGACGAGGTAGGTTTTCACCTGACAAGCATACTCCGTATAAAAAACGCACGTGTCTGTATAACAAGCCCGCATCGTCGAGGATGTGACTCGCTAAGAACTAAAGTCAATGGCCCTTTTTCACCCTGATGGAGTATTGTATCCCAGCAGCTTGCTGCTGAAATTGTGGGAAGGATTAAGTCCCTGTTTGGTGCCATACCAAACAAAGGGAGTATGTACTGAGCAATGAAGTATTGACGTCGTTCTGCTGTCTTGTGAGTAGACTAATTAACCAAAACTACGGAGTAGTCTCCATAAGTCAACTGCTCTACACTGTGCACATCGGTCGCTGCTGCTGTTGCTTACATATGTGAGCATGCAGCATACGCCAGTTCTTCATTTGTTAGCAACCCCTGTTATCTAACTGCTGTCTTTATGGATCCACTTTGGATATCGATTTCGTCGATGCCCGTTAAGTCCACTTAGTGGTTCACCGTCGACCCCGATCCTCGTTCGGGTTGGGGGTGGTTCAACGTACGAGCAACAAGCCGGCCTAATGAGTACGTTGGAAGCCCTAGATATTTAAGCCTGCTGACTCTTCGAAACCCGATTGCAGAACCCAAGTACTGTGTATAAGCATGCATCTTAAAATGACCATGGATCCACATATCGCCTGCGTCTTGCTCGTGACCCAAAACCAGTCTCTGCGGGTTTGGCCGGTGTAACACTAAGTGGTCAAACCGAAGCCGCACTGGTAGACCAGTACCTGATTTACAGCCAACTGTATGTAGCATGGCTTTGTGATTCGTGTAGAATCAATAGGCGTTTGGAAGAAAAACACAATTTGGTTGTGATAGCGTATACTCAAAATAACTGCAGCAATGACCCGATGAAGCATGACTTTTATCGAGGGCTTCATCAGCTTTTGAGCGACGCTAACAAATAGGATGTTGTTCTTGTTGGGGATTTAAACGTGAAAGTCGGTCGTTTATTACCATATGAAAGTCACCTTGGTGGTCACTACATACCCGATGAGAACCGCTATGATAACGAGGATAGATTTTACACATTGTGCGAAGACAAGCAACTGGTTTTCTGGATCATCAACTTCAAGCATACGATGAGACTACGCACAACCTAGACCCTATTCATAAACGAAACCACAGTCGCAAATTGATCACGCTGAAATCATCTTAAAATGGCGAGGCAGTGTACGAGATTGCAGGTCATTTTGGTCAAGCTTCATCGACTCGGACCATACCCTGATTTATGCAAAATGCGAAGCACCACAAGATTGATGCGAACATGCTGGCTAGTTACTCAATCCAGGTGAGCTACTAGCCTTCCTTTGCAATTCAACACAAAACATTGAGAAACATCGGACTTCCATACAAGTATGGACAACCAAGTTACGAATTAGCTAGATGTCTTTTAACGGCTTGGATCTCTACTTGATCTCTGGAGTTGTTTCATCACGGCAGAGCTATGACGACAGAATCAGGCTACAATAAGCTGGGACTATCGGCAGCTCAAGTAAAGCCTGCGCAAGGATTGCGAGACTTAGTGGTATGAATGTGCTTCAAAGATAAGACCGCGGTCCTCTCTGGCAATACTCGTAAACTTTTCTAACTCATTCGATTCACCGGCTTCAAGAAGTTTCGTGTCAGTGAGGTCAATTGCAGGGCTAGCGAGTCTCCAATCACTAAGCAGTCGAGGTGTTTGAACCGCTGGGCCGAACAATTTCATTCGCAGTTCAAATGAACTCCAACATCCATTTGTGTTTGCAGTACACCATGTTGCCTAGCTTGGCTTGTCCCAATGTGTCCACCCAGTGAAGCCGAAGTCTGCCCCGAGAGTCGACACTTAAAGCGATTCAATGCTGTCAGACCTCTTCCTGAGCCGTTCAAGTACGTTGGTGTAGTAACCACTAACCAGCAGACCTCATTGTGTCTGGGATGAAAAAGGTGGTTCGTTATCAACAGCGGTAAGTTCCCGTTACTCTTCAACATCGCAAATGAAGACGTGTTGTCGAGCATTAGTACTTATCCAAAAGTTTACCGTAGAGCTTCTACAACACATCGCGCGACCGACTTAGATTATGCCGATGATATCGACTTAGTTACTAACGATCCGCAAAACACCCAAACTTATTCTGAATTACTCGTGAGTAGAGGGATTTGGTAAGATTTACTTAATTCACCTCAACTACAAGCCAGATAGGCTGTTTCGTCCTTTTGGGACGCGTCCGTAGTGCGGATTCCCTCGGTCCTCTTCAGAGAACAGAAGCCATGACCGCTTGGGGCTTGCACCAATAACCAGCTCATGCATGCGAGTACGGTGTACGTCTCGTGAACCATATCGATGGTGACTGGCTGAACATTCGTTGTTTCGGAACAAGAACGCGTGTGCGTGATACTGATACTGATTAGAAGCAGCGAGTAGAGCATACTCTGTGTAGCTGCATCAATTGTCGCGCTTGGACATTAACGTATTAATTATCGTTCCGCTCTTTATATTTTGCCTCTGCAAAGTGTTTGTCTAGAAGCTTCTTAAATTCGGCCACTGAATTCGCCTCTATTACCGGCTGCGGCAGGTTTAGAAGCTTCTTAAATTCGGCCACTGAATTCGCCTCTATTACCGGCTGCGGCAGGTTGTTCCAGGTATGCACCACTCTACGTTCGAAACAGAGTTGGTGAGCTACCCGCTTCAACTCTGGTACGATAAGTTTACACCGGTGTCCTCGCGTGCACCTTGGTGTGCGCAGATGAAGCAGTTGTCTCAACATGGGGTAATCACTCAGATGTAATATCCGGTGCGTCATGATTAGGTCAACCCTCAGCCGATGATATGCTAGGGTGTACAGCCCTAGTTTCTTACATCGGTCTTCATATGGCATACCTCGTAAGTTGGGAATCAGCCTAGTGGCTACATGCTGCACCCGCTCAAGCTTTTCTACCTCGCCCAGCGTGATGGGACAATATGCGGGAGAACCGTATTCTAGCTTTGGTCGTATTATCGAGACGAAGAGGCGAGTGGCAATCTCTTCGGACCAAGTGCTGAAGCTGCGCCTGAGCGCCCAAAGCATCCGAAGGCTGTTTTGGTACAGCCTATTCGTGTTGTCAATGGACTTTAGGTC